ACTGTGTGTGTGTGTGTGTGTGTGTGTGTGTGTGTGTGTGTGTGTGTGTGTGTGTGTGTGTGTGTATGTTTGAGTGCATACTTGGGCACTTTTTGGGGAGATGCCTTTTCCTTTGGATTTTTATTGTGTTGTTATTCATGTTCTTCTTCTACTATGTTATATCACAATGTCAATTTCAGTATTGTGCGGTACCGGTATGTTTATAGGGGGGTTTGGTTTTTTGTTTCATTAATGTACAAGCTACTAATTATATATAACCTATTTAATTTTTTTGGTTAAAATGCTCTATAAATAGTGATATAATCAGTGTCCTTACAAATAAAACTTTTTGGGCTAAAATTATTGTGTCTGTTGCTTTGATTTTCATTCTAATTTTTGTTCAATATTGTTGCTCCTGTTTAAACAAGTATTATTACATTACTCAGGTTTGGTGTAAAAAGGAAGATATTGTTTAGTACAGATTTTACAAATTGTCAACATCTTATTTCAGCAATTTATTGAACAGGGGACATAATCATTTTTTATATTCCATTAATGGCAAGATTTGTCTTCCTTGTTTTGTTAGCTTGGCTGCTTATCAATTTGTTTGATGAAAAATAACTCTTCCTTTTTACTTAAGACAGATGAATAATGATGATAATGTACATAATTTTAAGTCTGAGGTTGGTTATTTGCAGAATATGTTTGAAGTCTTGTAGTCTTGAGAATCTTAATCATAATGTGTTAATAAGGGAATCCCCTGACTTCACAAACATCTTCTCCAGACTGGACTTCTCAAACGTTTTTGGCGTTCTTTTTGTTTTTGGTTATGTTGTCTTGTGTTTTTGTTTGTGTTGTTTTCTATCTTTTGTTTTTCAGTTGAGATGAAAATGGGTCACTTTTTTCATGCAACCTAACACAGAACTTATGTGTTCAATTCAGTCTTGTTTCTTTAGTCTTGAGACATGAAATCTATTGCAACTACATTGTATGTGGGAACTTATCATAAATGTTTTTGCCTAGTTATGATAATTATCATGTACAAAGGCTTAAAGATGCTGCAGACAGAGGCATATGCCTCAGATTTTATCCAGTTTATTTCCTGGTTTGTAATGCCTGTACAAGACACATAAATTATCAGATTCTGGATAATTAGCCCTCTCTGAATGTTTAATTTCAAAAGACTTTTACTTGTTTAAGAAAGCAAAAAACTAATATTTTATTGATGCACCTGTTTATATTATGAGATGTGTTGAAACTTTTTCTTGAACTTTATGACAGCTGAAATGAATAATTACTGTGCGCTAGCAAAATGGTGTAACTCAGAGTTGTGTCAAAATGCAACAAGCCTTTTATTTTGTTTCTTGGTACTATATCTATCTTTTGGTAAAACCAAAACAAAAATGCGCTAGCAGTCACAAAACGAAAATGCGTGGCAAGTTTTACCATTATTAGATGAAAAATGATCTGGTTGAACAGTTGTTTTTTTTTCATTTATCTCAAAAGCAGTGAAGAGATGTGCCATTTTGCTATCAAGACGAAGTGACCATATGTTAATCTGTAAATTACTGTAAATTAGTTTTGTCTAGGCTGGTTTTTGCATTTTCATATCTCATATCTATGAATTTAAGTACAATCAACAAACTTCATAAGCTATCTTGCACCCATGTTTCTGTATTGAAATATGTTGTTATGTCTCAAACACTGGCAATTGGCAGCATATATTTTAATTAAACGTTTCATTTCTGAAAAATGCAGTAACTGGGAGAGTGTGTTCACATACATACTTTTGTGTGCGTGTGCGTGTGTGTGTGTGTGTGTGTGTGTGTGTGTGTGTGTGTGTGTGCGTGCATGCGTGTATATGCATGTCTATGTGTGTGTTTTTATGTATGTGAGTTTGTAAATTAATATCTCCAACATTCATTCTCAACAGGAAATGAAACTGGATCTCCCCAAGTGATGACTCCAGCCTATCGGAGTGTCCACTCATCAGATTCTCATGTGCAAAGGGTGGTGGATGACATGCCAAATGCTGTGGACAGGATTTGGAACTTAAGGTATATACAATTGTTGGAATCTTCAGTCATCTTTGCCAAGACAGACTGACTAACTGTTCTGAGATTTTTGGTGCAGACTCGTCTGAATTGCATTTGAAAAATGGTTCAGAGGAACTTGTATATTGTTACAGTTGTGGTCTGATCACCAAGCCTTGAAAGTGAAAATCCTGAAAGTGGATTGGTTTTTGGGTTATTAAAAAAAAAATTGATGTTGTTGTAATAACAGTATTGCCAATTAAAAGGTATCAAAACAGAACAAAAAAGATTTAAGTGAATGTTTGTCAAAGAAATGTACATACTTTCTATCTGACTTGTACACTATTGAAAAAAAATATAGTATAGCTCGTATGCGTCAAACACAGAAGACTCGAAATCTTGCATCCATCGAACTGTGTCTGCGGTCCCGTTTTTTTTTTTTCTTTATCTTTGTAAGATATCCCTTGCACTGTGGATCTCTTGAACTACCGAGGGGGCTCCCGACAAATTCGAGCTATCCATGTTAAACTGTACATACTTTTTCCCATACTTAAAAAAATAGGGACATTGATATGGGCTGTCTGCCTATGGCAGAGCAAGTGTTCTTGTTCTCTAGCAAATCATATAAAAATGAAGAGGGGGGGGGCTTTCTTTTGCCAGGGTGAATAAACATGCTGTTCTCTTTACTTAATTAACAGAGAGAGTCTTCATCATGATTACCTGAAAATGAAGAGGCCATACAAAGGTGAACTTGGTGTGGAAAGTTATGAGGCTTGGCAGATGCCTGACTATTATGTAGTAAGTATTTCATCACATGCCAATAACTGGTCATAGCCTTACACGTCTCATCTGATTTTGATTATTTATAATATCTTGAGTTCCCTTACGTTTACAAAAGCATGCATGTACCATTTCAAATAAGCACTTCATTAATAGAGGTGTCATAGTCTAATGGAGAAGTAAAGACTTATGCTTGCAACATATGATATTGCATCTTGGAAAAAGGTTCTTTTCCTTTGTACTGCTCTGTTCACTCAGCTGCTAATGGGTGCTTGATAATCTCATAGGGCAGAAATATGTGAATTATTTTATTCAAACGCCTGTTAGATTTGGGACAGATTAAGCTGGCCAATTAAGTTGCCATGACGTCTTGTGAGCATTTATTTAAAGTGACAGTGGACCATGAACCAGTACCTTAACTATTACTTTATTCCTTTGTAAAGTGAACTATTTTTTTGGTCCTTTTTGATGCAATTAAATTTACTTGTTTGTGAGAGCTTGGGACAGCTTAAAATCAATGTATTGTCTGTTTAGCCTGTTAAGATGAAAGACTACTAAATGTATGTCTTATTTATAAAAACATAAATGTAGATATATGATAAGTGATCTGATGATAAGACAATTTATCTGATGATAAGAAAGGATTATTGATGCTTGTGTATGTGTATATGTGCTTTTATGAAACAACTCTATTCATGGATATATATTGCATATCAAAAATATTTTGTCAGGTGCGGAAGCTCGTTGATGACTTTGTGGATGACTTCATTGTGAAGCACATTCCTTCAGACTACTCTGTCTTTGAACGAAGCATGAAGCTGTGAGTGGTATTTTCACAAACAAAAAGCAATGGATTTATGCGTATATTTGCAGCTTGTATGTGTGTTTATGTGGAATGTATTTCAGTAAGTGTGTTTTTGTCTATGTATGTGAATGTATACTTGTGTGTGCATATTATGTGTATGTGCTCATTTTACCATGTTTGCATGTGAATAGTTTGTGTACCTATGCTCCTACATAGGTACAATATTTTAGTTCAGTGTGTGTGCGTGTGTATTTTTTAAGCTAACCCCTATATGAATGTCTATAATCATTTTGTTATTCCAAGTGCTATGAATGTCGTCTTGTCATAATTTTAGGGAGATGATGGTGCAAAAGGATAGAAACTGGCATCAGACATCCACTGCCTTGGCTGAAAGGAGAGCTGTAAAACTTGCTGCTGAGGAAATTATGCTTGAGGTGAATGTCATGCCTTCATTTAATCTGATACTTTGTCTTTTGTTTAAAATTCAAATCTAACTGTAGATAGATCATTATGGAGATAGGCTTTGACCATGCCTGTCTAAGTCACCCTGAGCTGAGAGAGGGATGCAGTATCCAAGCAGAAAGATCAAAATAGTTGATGGAAATTCTCCCAACATAGGATTCAAAGTCAGCAGTCTGTGCATGCCACAGCAAAACACCTAACCACTCACCAAAGATGCCAGTTTTTCTTTTTTTCCGGGAAAAAGATAAAAGACAATTTGTTCATGACATGAATTACCCTTTCATATTTCTTTCCTGGGATGATAGTAGGAAATAATAGTGGAAAGAAAGAATAAAAGTGTTGGAGTACTGCCCTCATGTATCCTTTATCGTCTGATGGATAGAAATGCATATGTTGTGTAAACGCACCTGAGGATCTTTAACACTCTGACACATATTTTTGGAGAGGGACCACATTTAATTAAGTCCGTAAGAGATATAGATCTATATGAGAGAGAGCAAGAATCATGTTTAAATGTTTGGTCTTATACTGGATAGCCTATAGATGACAACAATAAATTTCCCACTTTTTGTGTCCTGATCCTACTCACAGGTGACCAGTAAGATGACAAAGGAGATTGCCGGAGAAGGAATTCACCAGGATGTCATGTTCAAGAGGATTTCTTCGAACATGTTCATGAAGGAAGCAGAGGTAGGTCCTAGCCAGATGAATGTAGTATCAAGGTTCAGAGTTGATGTTTCTTCACACTCAACACATGTGATTTGACATAGCGTTCAATAGGATTAATTTGTTTTTCCTGTGTATTTGTGCGCTGCGTGCAACTTTTTTTCTTTTTTTTTGGTAAGTGTTTGACGGGGCTCGCAACTGCATAAGGTCATATGAGCGGTGGCGGCCGAAGCCTACTTTTATCAATCTTAGACCACCAAGGGATCTTTAAGATGCACAACTTGCACATGGGCCCTCCAAGATTTTTCGCCCTTGTCGGAGAAGGCTAGAGGAAGATCTTTCCTACCAGAAGATCAGGGGTGTGTCTGAAAGGCAGTAGTAAGAAGGAGCCAAGGAGAAGCAGTAGAAAGGCTGCAGAAAGAGTCAAGAGCCGAGAGGAGGGGGCAAAGGAGGTGAGGGGGTGGAGGCAGAAAGGGGAGACAAAAGCAGACAACAGAACATTGTTAGAGAGCAAGAAAGGAGGTGAAAGGAGACAATTTTAGAGAAGAAATTTTTTTCAGCCGCTGCCCAGATTCGAACCCGGGACCTTTGAGTAAGAGGCGAACACTTTAACTTCTAGACCACGAGAGCCCCATGTGTGCAACTTTATCTATGATGTACAATACCCTGGGGCAATAAAAAGATGTATTTTTATTCTCTCGTTCCACGTGGCGTCAATGTCCTAGTGGTTAGGCTCCCAGACTTGTAACTGTAAGGCCATGGGTTCCAATCCCTTCAGGGGCCCAACGTTGTGTTCTTTGGAAAGGCACTTTACACGAATTTTCCTTACTTCACCTAGATGGAAATGGGAACCCAGCTATTATATATAGACAGTGAAAGGTCTTGTCAGTTTGTTAGTGTTTGAGCGCTTAACCAGCTGCTTGTGCTGTATGCTTTCTGGGAAGTTGAGAATGTTTCTGAGTGTACTATGGTCTGCTGGGGTAATAATATAGTGTAACGTGCATAGAATTTGCCATCGAGCAGGGATATGCGCTATACAAATGCTATCTATTATTATTAATATCTTTTTGACATTTGGGTATGACCCCAAGCCCAGATGTTCTGCTCCCCTAGAAAAATAATTAAATAATTAAAAAGAAATCTACTATTGCAGTGAAGAAATCTTTGGCACAGACAGTGAACACAGAAATGACATTGACTTGACATACTTTACTCAACCATGACTCTTAAAGAGTTGTTACATGGTAGGCCTGCTTTTGGTATGACATGCACTATTTCTTAAAGTGCTCTTGTCTAGGCCCAATATCGTAAGAAAGCTTTACTATAATTTTCTGACTTGTAGGCCAACATGATATGGTTCTATGTTTTGCTCAATTTCTGGTCTGATGGTAATATTTTGTACTGAGATTTTTCTGAAGACAGAGATTGTGAACGTCATAACATTATGTTTGTTTAGCTTCTGCTGTCTCAATATGGTTTGTTTTTAGTTTGATTTGAGTTACGCAGTTTAAGGTTATTTCCTGATTATTTCTTTGACATATTTTGTTTTTATTTTATTTTACAATAAGTATTCTGTTTCCTTCTGCCTGTAAGGGTCACATTGGGCTGCTTTTCATGTCATGATGTAGTTCCAATAGAAATAAGAAAAAACAAAACGCGTATAATTTTGAAATTTGTATGTCTTACACGATTGTTATACCTATGGTCCTTTAAAAACACAACTATTTATTGCTGTTGTACCTCAGATACAAGCCACAGGGAAACCGGATGGGCGAGATCCCAACGACAAGGCCTATGACTTGGTCTCTCGGTCGTTTGACTCATTACAGAAAAACAGAGATCATCACAAGTGTGTACATCTTTTTGGGAATTAAGGTCCACTTTATACTTTAAAAAACTACTCAAGGACATTGTTTGGGTGTAGAGTACATGTTACTTGTCATGAATATTACAAAGCAATTGCAGTAATCTGTCACTTTAGCTATATTGTCAGCAGGCTGTTTAAACATACTGAGGCCAAAAAGCAACTTTTTTCATGAGAGAGAAAAAATCTTGATTCATTCTTTTAAAAGTTGTACCTAAATTTATGGGGTTTTTTTCTTGCTTTTGTTTAACTTTTAGATTTTGCATACCAACAAAATCTTTATTGAACACGCACAACTCATACCACAAATTATAATTTAAACTGCAACAAAACAGGGGGAAAAAATAAAATTTTGGTCTTTGAACATTAGTTTGAACAGCTGGGTAACAATATGTGGTTCAAAGAGAGTCCCTCTCGAAATGAAAGTAGGGGGACTACTTTTTAAAAAATAATTTGACTGAAAAGTGTATTTTACTGAAATTGTTTTCTCATTGTACCATTACCCAATAAATTAAACAATTATATGAAATCAAAGAAAAACCGCATTTTTCTGCCAATTTTTATCTAATTTTTGTTTTTTACTCAACTTCTTTTATGTCTGTATAAAAAGACATTTCCTTGTGAATTTTACTGAAAAACGTTGATTAAAGGCACAAATTATGTGATTTTTCAGTTTTCAAGGACTTTCAAGCCATTGAAGAAAAAAACAACTTTGGCGACCATTTTCTCTCTAATTTTATCACTGAAACCAGGTGACCCCACCTCCTTCAATCGCAAATATTTTAAATTCTATTCAAGATAGATGGGGATATTTTTCTTTGAAAGCAGGGCAGGTTAATAACCTTTTAAATGATACCAATATCTCCACATGCCTAAAAATTGACACGTGCCTGATTCCACTGCGTTGTGACTCAATAGCTTCTTGAGACCTTGACCTCTGAATCTGCTGGATCCACGTACTTGACCTCTTGTTTGATTGCAAAAATTACGCCACCTTATGCTGAGTATGTATGCGAGTCCATTTGGAAAATATTAACACAATACTGCTTGCAATCTACAGCCAAATTGATACCATTTTGTCCGTTGATTATAATTTCAGGCACCAATTTTCTTAGACAAACAATGTGTCTTTTATCTTTTTCACAAATTCTATGCGCTAGCTCCTGCCTATTTTCACTTTACATATTCATGATTTTAGCAAAACTATTTCTGGATTCTTCTTGTCATGATGTTTTTTAATGTAACCAAGGCCCCCATTGCCAGAGGAAAAGGACCACTAGGGCATTTTTTTGTTTTGTTTTGTTTTCTTGCAATATTTCAACAAGTTTTTAAGACTTTCTAATTTCTAAGAAAACACTACGGTTAAAGTCTAGCTTGATATTATGTTTCTAATGTATAGAGTGATGCCTGAGGTGTAGCAGTAAGGCACTTTACTGTCCCATGCAGAAGACCTGAGTTCGGTTCTAGTGTGTTGAAAATTTTGTTGAATACCTCCATCTTTCTGCAGGTACGCTGTATCCCTCTCAGCCAGGTTTGGCCCTCACAGGCAGGGTGGAAGCTGCCCGCCTCCTAAATTATCAAAAAGGGCATAAAACTACAATTAAAATTACAATGAAAGATTCCTACTATCCCCACTCCAGCTTGTGGCCGGTATGTTTCCAGATTCACATGTTGAAAAGTTTTCCCCGTCTATTTCAGGAAAGGCGTGTGGGGTCATTCCCAGGTCATGAGCCATCCAGAGGTTCCTGCCCCACAACCACTACAGAGGGACCCAGGGCCTCCTCCACCCAGCCCGAAAAACAAAAAAGGAAAGAAAATTCCAGAACCACCCAAAACTAAGACACCATCTCATGTTGTGAAACAGAAGTAGGTGTTGTAGAGACGTGTGGGTTTGTGTGTGTTCTCCTGGTGGCGGCTTGCTCTGCTGTATCTGCACTGATTTCTGGTAAAGGTGGTGATGATAGAGTTGAATTCTGTGTGTGTGCTCTGATTTCTGCCCAAGGTGGTGGTGGTTGGGATGATTGTGTTCATTGCTGTTACTGTGTGCACAGTGGTTCCTCCTAGTTGACCTCGTTTGAACAAAGTAACCCCTTGTTTTGTAATTGGGTAACTGATCAGGACTTAATGGCTTTTTAAAACCAAATGTCCCTCTCTCCTAATATGCTCTGACAAAAACTACCAATGCATGCCAGAAATTGCGATAGTTCGAAGTATGAGTTTAAATTAGGAATTCAGATTTTTCTCTTGAGACCATCACTTTTTTTCTAGTTTTGAAAAACTTCTTAATCTTGTGAAATGGTAGGTTTCATGAGTGCTCCATTTATGATATGATATACTCTGTCTGAATTCCATACATTATAAAAACTGGGATGGATGCTTCCCTTTATGTATAACTGCAATGTTGTGTGAAGGAAAAGGAAAATCTTCTTTTGAGTTTATAAGACGTCTGTTGTAGAGTGTATCCATATTTCTATCCAGGAGAAATAGAGGAGGTAATTTTCTCTTGGATAAAGTACTAGCCTATTGTAATGCGTATGATTATTTAGAGCCTCGTGGTATTGGAAATCTTAACTACCATACTAGATATTTCTCCCGGGAAAACAAGACATGAGTAGGCTCATCCCTGTCCCTTGGTATTCACTGAATGATACTTGAAAGAGGACTTATTAATCATGATGTTCCAAATGATCACAGTGCTCAAACGTTTGTTGTTACTGGAAGGTCGTTGTAATGTGGAGGAATGTGGAGTATGGAGATTGTGGTATAGCTTGAAGGAACCAGTGCATCTACCCCAATACTTTTGTCTGTTGTGTTTAGTGGAATAATTTTCAGATTCTGGAGAGTTTCTCCTGGACATAACAAAAGGCTTTTGAATATGTGTGTCTGATCCTGTGTACTCTGGGCTAGTCTGGAGTTTTATTTTGAATAAAACAGTTTCATAAAATGTTCAGGAGAGCCACCCCCCCCCCCCCCCCCCATATTTGCCTCTCAACAGCCAATTGCTTTGAATATCTTCCAAACACTTTCCCTGCCTCATTCATAAAGGTATCAATACCAGACTAAGGCAGAAATGTGCACCATGTTTTAATTAAACTATCAGGTAGAATGGATATCTCAGTTTTATTCAAAACTGGATATACTGTCTTTTTAAATAAAGCTCCACGTCCATACCAGTACACTGTTATATGAATTTTAGTTTTGGGGAATATGGCGTGTATAATGCTCTATAGCATTGAATTCATGAAGTACCTGAAAGACATATAAAAGTATCTAAAGAATTTGTATACCTTACGATGTGTTTACCCCTCACTTTTCAGACTGTACTGCCAGTGTAATGCTTCTAGACTGTAGCTCCTGTTTTTTCCCCATCCTCATTTATTTATTGGGCCTGACTTCTGGATTTTTCCTTGG